TACTACAAAGTTTATATTAGACTACATTAATCTTGCCTATTCAAAGTAATTCAAAGCCAGAATCGTCTTTCAGAAATTAATGCAATATGGCCAGCATCAAGGGACAAAAAAGTTTATTGTTAAATAAATTTTTAAAATATTTTTTCTCGCCCCCTAGACAGGCAATTTTGAAAGAAGGTTCGGTTAGGGGGTTTTATCTTTGGAATAAGTATTACAACAACTGTTTATTTGAAATAGGTAATTGTACGTCCTTAGCCTTCTCATGTTTGAAAATAAGCCTATATTTTAAAACGGATTCAATTATATTTCGAAAAATAATTAACTATAGTTATTTTTTTTAATAGAAAATTAGATTTTGTCATTCAGTTGTGCGATTGGCGCTATTCCCTATAAACCGTTCCATTCAAAAAGGATGTAGCAAACGATGAAAATAAGGGCTACAATCCCGATTTGTTGTATCTTGAATTGGAACGATATTGGTTTAGTCTCGGGTCGAGGGGGTTCCTGGATCGCGTGCTTTTTAAAACAAGGTCACGTGAACGATGAACAACCTTCTTAATAATCGTCTTCCTTTAGACAAATGCCAGTTGATATCCGAAAAGTGCAGATGGGCCTGAACGATACTGTGAATGAAAGGGGTAAATTAATTGTTAATTATTTCAGATCGGTTCTGCTAACAGAAATAATTTTACTCTACCTATTAAAAGAAAACTTTTGTACGGATCTATTTATATTTGAAGTGTTAAACCTTAATAATTATGTTTATTACCATGTTTGATGAAAATGCACTCATGATTTAAATTAAACCCCCAAAAAAATTAAAAATGTTTAAAATCCATTACCTTCCCGAGCTGTTTATACGAAAGTATAAAAGGCCAAAGCTTAAGCTTAAAGTCCTTTTTCTTAAAAAGTAAGAATTAAAACAAAAATACTTCTGATTATTTCTTAATGATTTTAGGAAAAATGTTCCAACCATACTGCTCAAAAATGTGTAGCGATATTGCCAATTTTGTAGTATTTACTTTCCCTAGAATTTTTATTTTATTTTTATTACAAATTGAATTAAAATTTATTAGAAATTATTATGTTTTTTGCTGAAGAAAAATTTAAGGGATTTTGAAAAAAATAAATGGTTTAATTCCATCATTTTGTTTATAGGACATAATAAATTTTTAAACAATTAATAGCGTATATAATGTCCTCTGTTAGATAAAATCTCTGTGCACCTGTTAGGCATACTGTTAATAAGATTGATACTATTTTCATAAGGAATTTCATTCCATAGATGTTGCCACGCTGCACTCAGGAGTTACAGGTCAACTGTCTGAGCACAGTGATCGAAAAGTCTTCTCTGCAACGCATCCCACATGTGCTTATTGGGATTGAAGTTTGGAATGAGGCTAGGAGCAAATGGGAAATTCCCTGGTTTTCCAAACATTGATGAACAACTCTGCTTCTATGAGGTATCGCATTGACATCCAGAAATCGAAAATCCGTGCCAAAGAGATTCCTGGTTTGAGGGATGTATTACGTGATAATGTCTTAGACTTAACGGACTTCGATGTGGTTGCCATCAACAATATGGAGTCCAGTACTTCCTCCAGTGTAAATCCCAGCACAGACTATTATACACTCTTCCAAACTGCACTGATGAAAGCATGAACTGGGGCATTGTACGCATCCCCTGTTCTCAGTTGACTCTTCGGCGCATGCTATCACTATACAGACAGAAACGCTACTCATCAGTAAACATAACAGCACTCCAATTGATTTTTTCCTGAGTTGCTGGTGGTGGGCTTTTGCTGCAGGTCGTCTCGAATGGGGCTACGAGATGAGGCCAATTTCTCACAAACGATTACGAATCGGTTGTGTTGACAAAGAACTTGTCAAAACATCTTATGCTTCAATTAGGATCTGGCGAACACTGTGGAAAGGATTCCGTTTTGCAGCAATGACAACATTTCTGTCCTCCCTTAGCGTCGTAATGCGCTGAGATTAACTACCAGGTCTCGTAATGGCGCTTCCAATCTCTCGGAATCGGGGGAGGAGTCATACACTTCGATGACTCATTCTCACAATAACATTTCTAACTTCTGGTTCAAGATCTTTTTCCATGCTTAAAGAGAATACAATTGGATTAAAATGGAGAATAGACGAGCCAAGGTTTTTGTTTACAAAAGGAGTAATCTTCATGTTTACTATTCTTAAGGAAATGCGTTTTTTAAAATGAGGATTAGCTAATGCTTCTTTTTGGCTTGTATTTTCTGTTTTGTTTTAACTATTGTATTATGTTTTATAATTGATAGAAATTACAAATATCCCTATTTATTTTTGTCTAGTTTAGTTTACCATTATATATTGTCAGCCTTTATAATTTATTTGCAAGTTTGTCCACATTGAACACACTACCCGCAAGAACGGTGAGCCATGAAGGTTTAGCATTTCAAACCCCGTGCAAGTACAAAATTATAAAGCTAGAACAAAAGCGATGGTGCTCTTTTAAATATTACAGGAATAAAACTTCTTTTCCTTTCACAACGAACATTACTTTATCTGTTAAGATTATGAAAATAAAATAAATAGATGTATAGATAGTGTGTTTTTAATTAAAATAAATATTTTTCGTTTGTTACAAATCAACACGTTTTTAACCATATATTAATAATATTGCAAACTTCTGGTTCGAAATGATGTCTTTCCATCATTAAAGAGAATAAAATTTGATTAAAATGGAGAAAAGACGAGCGAATGTTTTTGTTTAGAAGATGCGTAATTTTCATGTTTACTATTCTTAAGTAAATCCGGATTAACATTTGTTTGTTTTTCGTATGCGTTTTCTTTCTTGTTTTGTAAAATTCACAAGAATATATCCGTTAATTTAATTAAAATTAATAGAAATTAGAAATATCCCTTTTTTGGGGGGTTTAGTTTACAATTATAAATCGTCTGTCTTTATAATTTATTTGCCAAGGGGCAAGTTACGCACTTTATCCATTCTGAACACACTACCCGCAAGTACGGTGAGTCATGAAGGTTTAGCATTTCAGACCCCATGCAAGTACACAATATTATAAAGCTGGAACAATAACGATGGTTCTGTCTTTTAAATATTACAGGAATAAAACTTCTTTTCCTTTCAAAACGCATGTTATTTTATGTGTTATGATTATGAAAAGAAGATAGATGTATAGATATTTAAAATAAATACTTTTCGTTTGTTACAAATCAACACGAATAGTATGAACATGTAGTTGGTCTGACGTTAAGAAGAAAAGAAAATATACATGTCATAATTTCGATATACAGGGTATCCCATGAACAGACGTCAATACTTAATAATTTACAAGTTTCCAAATTTCGTAATACTTTATTAAGTAATATTTTCTTGGCATTGGTAGTATTGACGGATATGGTGTTTTGAGAAAACTCGTTCCTTCAAATGAGCTTAAACATATGTACTTAATTTCTCAAAGATCACTTTTTACTAGTCAAAAATTAACGTTAAATTGCCAAAAATTTGATTTTTCTGTTGCCAATTTTACGCGATTAATTTTTATTATAAGAAAAAATAAGAAGAATCTTATTAAGAGAGATTAGATATATAAAAACTTCAGAACAAGGAAAAGACGCTTCACCAACTTCCCATCTCAACCACACCTTTTTTTCTAATTTTCCCTCCTTTTTGCCATTTTTCAAATGTCTTTTATCTCAACTGAAAACCTTAATTAATTAAAGATATTAATTGGTCAAGCGGATCACGAAACTTGTGAATTTAATAAGTTTAAAATGAAGTATACCTTCACTAAAGATTTCCGTGGCCATTTCATTTCTCGCCGAGAATCAAATAGATTACACGACATTTGAAAAATGGCAAAAAGGAGGGAAAATTCAAAAAGGGTGTGGTTGAGATGGGAAGTTGGTGTCCGAGTGGATCGAGGTCACGATAGCTCAAGTGGTAGAGCAGCGGCGTATCAAGCCGAAGATCGTGGGTTCGAATCCCGCTCGTGCCATTGACGTTTTTATCTCAACTGAAAACCTTAATTAATTGTAAGATATTAATTGGTCAAGCGGACGCCGAAACTAGTGAACTATAAAAAAGTTTAAATATTTTTAGTAATATATTAATTTCATATCCGTTTTTATCTTTGAAGTATTGGTGATGTGCGATGTAGTCAAGATTCGAAATCTTGGAAAGATAAACAAAAACAAAAAATAATTATATTATGGTTATTCGTTTGTTGCACTCTAAAATATCCTGAATACAATATTCACTTTTCGCTTTCAAATTTTTTGCCGTCCAAATGCTTTTCCTAATGTCGAAAATGACCGAAATGATGACAACTTTGAAACGACTCAGGAATTAAAAAAACTATAACCTACAGAAAAACGTGATCTTCGTAAATAAAATCGAAGTTATAAAATAAAACGTTTGAAGAATTTTTGTAGACTTCATCCTCCATTTTCTTTTTACTTATAATGAAATATTCTTTACATTTTATTGGTACAGACTGAAAGAAAACAGATTAATAATACTTTTATCGTTTCTTCATATTTCAACCGTTTAAATTGAAAATAAGGTTTCAGTTGGATAAAATTCGAAGTACTTATGAATTGTTAGTGGAACGATATAGGCTAGTAAAAAAGTTACCCCCAACTGATCGAGCGAAAAAAAATTCTATTTTTTAATAAAAATTCAGAAGATTTAAAGAGATTTAAAAGGGGCTTAAACCGAATCAGATTTGCAAAAAAACATAAATTTGTTATTTAAACAAGCTATTTATTTCTTAGGTGACTTTTATGATCACTTGAAAATTACTTAACTCGAAATTGTCCTTTATCACCCTTTTCCTGACCTGAATCCAAGGCACTGACCTTCACCGCCCTAAGAGAAGAAAACTCCAGGGGCCAATAAACCCTTTGACATCTCAGGGGTTAAGGGCTGTTATTGTTTTAAGAACAGTTTTGTCAAACGAAAGGTTATAAGATTTTCTTTTTTCCAGGGGTTCGAGAGGCAAGCACTCATCTTCAAACACGGCCAGGCGACAAAGAAGATGGGATGCAAGCCTTCAAAAGAAACACTTAAAAGCGCACCATACGATGGTAGGCAATCACGAAGGCTGAAATCGTCGAACCAGATCGACGTCATTAACGATGACGAAGACGGAACGAAGATTGTCAGCCTAAGAGAAGACAACGGAGTGATTGAAGATGCAGCGCCGTTCACGCGTAAGTATAAAAACGTCGTATTGAACCGTTCAAACCGTTAATCCAATTGATTTTGGAAGAATGAAAGAAGTAACTATCGATACACGACGAATAGCGTGACCGTTGATGGGCGATTTTAGACATTACGTCACCCTCGGCCGTAGGAGTTTTATGGAAAATTCGAAACGGAACATATTACACTATTTATCTTTTCGTCAATATCGTGATGTTCATCCTTCCATCAGCAAAGTGCCCTGGATAAGAAGCAATCCAAAAGATTAGTAATTGATCCTCATTATTAATATTTTCTTTCGTGGACGTGCGATGTCATCACCCTTTATAACCATTGACACTACAATGCAATGAAATACACAATGTCGTTCTATAAAAAGATTAGAATCTTTATTTTCTATTATGATGAAAGACATTTACATATGTATAGTAGTTATGACAAAAATAATTTTTAATAATAATTAAAGAATACGACATACGAATGTATATAATTGTAATATATAAATAAAGTATTATTATATTACAAAATTATAACCTAATTAAAAGATAATATGCTTAGTTTAATTTATAATTATTTACCGCTTGGGAAATTCAAAAACGTACTAATATATCTTCATTACAAACTAAAAAATATCTTTATGAAATTTTATTGCTGCCTCAGCCTTGTATTCAGCTCAGTTGGGGGTCGCTTGACCATTTAAATGAGCTGGGAAAATTACTAGATTAATTTTACCAAAAATACAAAATATCTCTAAATGAAACGATCAAATTCGTACTTAAAAGTACGGCGCACTTTACACCAGGTAGAAGTTTTTCAAAGAATTATGAATTAAGCACAGGTAGGCAGATAGAATATGCTTTATTTCCATCACTAATAGGTGTTAACATATCGTTTATTAGTTATTTTGAAAGGCAATGGCCATAGCAATCTGTTGAATTGCCATTTTATGTTATTTGTACAAACTCAATTACTATCATCATTATTATTATTTATAGTTTTTCAAAGAATTATGAATACAGGTAGACAGATAGATCCTGCTTTATTTCCATTACTAATAGATGTTTACAAATCATTTATTAGTTATTTTTGAAAGACAATGGCCATAGCAATCTCTTCAATTGCCATTTTATGTTATTTGTGCAAACTCAATTACTATCATCATTTATAAATTTTTAAGGGCGTTTTAACGCCTATGGTCATTTCAAGCTCTAAGTTTTAACCTCATATCTTAGGTTAGCTACATCCCTCCTGAGAGCTATAAAGCTCTGACTACAAACATTCACTCATAAACTAATCTAACGTATTGTCATCCAAAGTTTTAACATATCCTTTTAAAATACTTAATTTGGAAGGCCAAATGTATGAAAAAATTTAAATTATAAAGTTTAATCCTTTTCTTTAAATATAATTATGAATTTTTGTTTCATAATTTAAAATTTCCCGTAGGCATGCATGGCCAATGATCAGTCTAGCAACAGTCTCAGCATGAGTATAGTCTCATCGTTATCATTTTGTTGTTCTAATACTATAAATACATTAACACTACTTAACATTAATAATAAAAATGTGTGGTGTTTAATGACCGTTAGCCAATGATTATTTGGAGATCGTGAGATAGGGTCTGGTGTGATGTAGGTTTCAGAAAAACATTTTCTTTATCGTGCTAACGTTTCGATATTTATTGAGATCATCTTCAGAGCCGGGATTTATAAACATTGTTTAAATTATACAAACACATGTAGGATGTGAAAAGAAATTATCTATTTATATTTCTATTATCATGAGATGTGAAAAAATGAATATAAATTCATAATTTCTTCTCACATCCTACATGTGTTTGTATAATTTAAACAATGTTTATAAATCCCGGCTCTGAAGATATCTCAATAAATATTGAAACGTTGGCACGATAAAGAAAACGGTTTTCTAAAGCCCATGCCACACCAGACTGCATCTCACGATCTCCAAATCATCATTAATAATAAATACATAATATGTACTGGTCTATTGACCAAATTACTTCTATCAATTAATTAATCTTTTTATGTAAGGTATTGATTGAAATGAAAAAGTTAGTGTCACGAGGAGGATTTGAACCCACGACCTTCGGCTCAATACGCCGCTGCTCTAACCACTCGAGCTATCGTGACTTCCTGGACGTGGGTTCGAATCCCGCTCGTGACACTAACTTTTTCATTTCAACCAATACCTTACAAAAAAAGATTAATTAATTGAAATTAATAATAAAACAAAAACACAATAACACTTCTTTTTCTTTATCCGTTTTTTTATTTCATGTTTTCAATTTCATTTTTCCGTTCCAACAGCCTCAAAAATTCCTTAAAAGAAATCTTGCATGCAGAACTCTCTGGTGTAAGAGTTTGGAAAAAGGCCTAAATCTCGTTATACATTCCAATAAATTTACGAAAAGTGAAAAGTGCTCTTCGAACAAACACTGGGGCCCAAGTAACTCTTTTAAATCACTCGAAATACTATCATTATTACTTTTATTATTAATTTTTTAGAGCGTTTTAACGGCTAAGGTCGCCCTAACATTCAAACCTTCTATCTTAGGTTAGCTATATTCCTTCTGAGTGCTATAATGCTCTGACTCCAAACATTCACTCATAAACTTATCCATCCTATTGCCATCCAAAGCTTTAATTTATCCTTGTCAAATTCTTAATTTGGAAGGCCAAATATATGCAAAATCCCATTTTATAAAATTTATCCCGGTTCTTTAATTAGAATTTCAAATCTTTGTTCCATAATTTAAACCTTTCCGATTCCATTTTAATAATAACAATGGAGTCAGACTAGCAAGAGTCTCAGAATTGCAGTTTATTACCCCGCAATTTGTATTTTCTTCTGTTTCATTTTTCCGCTCCGGCAGCTTCCAAAATTCCTGACAAAAGAATGAAATCTTGCACGCATAACTCTCAATCAAACATTAGCAGCCAAACATTCAATGGTATAACAATCTGGGAAAAGGCCTACATCTCATTATAAATTACAATAAATATGAGAAAGTTGAAAAGTGTTCTTCGAAAGAAACATTGCAGACCCAGTAACTCCTTTAAATCACTCGAAAGATTGAGCCATTGCCTAAAGAATAGCTAAGTGCGACATTCGACTGAAATATGTTTTACAGTGAGAATGATACGTTCTCCACTTCGCAAACATAGAGGACAAATTGGAATACTAAAGTTGTTATTGTTATTTTATCATTATATATGTTTAATTTATATTTAAGAATAAGTTTAATAAGAAAGGATGGATTATTAATTGAAATGATGGACCAAGTATTTCTCCCATTTGAGAAACTGAGAGAAGCATTACACGAGGGGAATTAAGGTGGTTCCAACTCGAATGATCCTCACCGGTTCCTTACTCAGCTGCATCTTCCCACGGCAGGCTATTCGGAGCTCTGCTAGAAGCAGGGACACTCCCAGGTCATAGCTTCTCAGATAAAAGGAGCAATTGAAGCGTCTGGAAAAACTTCTTAAAAACTAATATGCCTGATCGTATTTAATGAGATTAGATACTGTAGCAAATCATAAAAGTCGTTGTTTAGATTTTATAAGTCAAATTGCAGCATTCCTTGTACTAAGTCATTCCATACCTTGATCCACATGAATGCTTATCATCCGCCTTGTGAAATTAGCATTCCTACAAGAACACAGCAAGAATTTAAGAGTGATCATGTACTTTTACAAAAAATTAAGCAGGCTGATTATGAGTTTACATCTATATATTTAAATAATAAAAATTTGTATATTTTGATTACAAAAGAAATTGACCTTAACACGGGTAATTTATTGTTTAAAAAAAATACTTGCTATTTGGTATTCAGATGATTTACAACATCTTAAATAAAAAAATATAGCGAAAAAGAAATATAAAAATTTTAAATTTTGAAAAATTGTTTGTTGTTTTTAAGTCAGGAAATGAAAGTTTATTTTTGATTGGGCTCGATCGGAGACCTATCCAGAGTTCAGAATAATTCAGCAGTTAATCTCAAGCTGTTTTGGAAATTGTTAATTCTTACTCATGCACGGCTGGAATTCTGTTGATTACGAAACAGTAATTCTACCTTTGACAATGGGACTGAAATTGCAAATGCGTTTTTCCCAATATTTTGCATTATTAAAAAAAACTATACAAATTACTGTAGTAATCAATAAAACAAACTATAATTATATTAATAATAATTTTCCAATTAATTAAGGTTTTTAGTTGAGATAAAAAAAGTCAGTGTCACGAGCGGGATTTGAACCCACGACCTTCGGCTAGATACGCCGCTACTCTACCACTTGAGCTATCGGTTTTTAGTTGAGATGACAAATGGCAAAAAGGAGGGAAAATTCAAAAGGTGAGGTTGAAATGGGAAGTTAAACACTGACTTTTTTATTTCAACTAAAAATCTTAATTAATTAAAAGATAATAATTGGTCAAGCAGACCACAAAAACTAGTGAAATTAATAATAATAATAGAAAATATAAAAAGTGAATAATACATGCCCACCATGACTTTTGAGAGATTGTGTTACTTCAGTATCACCAAAAAAAGCTTTGGTGAAACTATTTAATAAAGTCCTTGAATAATTACTTCCTGGTCTAGAATAAATAATTACTCGATAATTATTTATTCTTAAGGTTCTATCTGTCGTCAAATTGTACTGTAGATGGGCTAAAACAACTGAGAAAGAAAAATATTCGCTGTAAATAAAATATTCAAACGGCCAGTTATTTGTATCTAAAGGTAATAAGTCGGCAAATAATTTACACAACGGGACGATTGATCGAGAGATCATCTTTTTCAAAGAATTTGCCGATCGATCAAACGGGTCAATGTCTGCAAGAGTGTTAAGTTGGATTTTTTTATTATGGTCAGAGATGTTAGCAGATTTGCGTGCCTGTTAAAAGAGGTCAACACACTACTCCCTAACTTCACTCACGAAGGTGAACTGAAATCCCTCAATTTAGTCTGTTATATCGCCAGGGTTCG